ATAGAATAGAATAGAATAGAATAGAATAGAATAGAATAGAATAGAATGTTAGAGTTGGAAGGGACCTTGGAGGTCTAAGCAGGAAGCCCTATATACCATTTCAAATGAATGGTTATCCACTCTCTTCTTAAAAACCTCCAGTGTTGGAGCATCCACAACTTCTGGAGGCAGGTTGTTCCACTGATTAATTGTTCTCCCTGTCAGGAAATTCCTCCTCAGTTCTAGGTTGCTTCTCTCCTTGATTAGTTTCCACCCGTTGCTTCTTGTCCTGCCTTCCGGTGATTTGGAGAACAGCTTGACCCCCTCTTCTTTGTGTGAGATATTGGGAGGTTGCTTGCTATCATGTCACCCCTAATCCTTCTTTTCACTAGACTAAACATATCCAGTTCCTGCAACCGTTCTTCATCATGGTTTAGCCTCCAGCTCCCTCCTCCTCTTGGTTGCTCTTCTCTGCACTCTTTCTAGAGTCTCAACATCCTTTTTTTTTAATATTGTGGCGACCAAAACTGGGTGCCGTATATCCCAAGAGTGGCTTTGCCAAGGCCTTATAGAGCAGTGTTAACCCTTCACGTGATCTTGATTTCTATCCCTCTGTTAATGCAGCCCTTTGTGGGCGAGATTTCCCCATCTCTGCCTTCAGAGGCGTCAGGTGTGCCTGTGCTCCAAGAGAGAAGGATTTATTTATTTTTTTTGTGATTGCAACTTCAGCACAAACGATGCTTTTTGCTGGCTCGTCTCTTCTCTTAATTACTTCGCCTTTAGTGTGTGTGTGTGTGTGTGTGTGTGTGTGTGTGTGTTTTTCTGGGGGCGGAGGGAGAATGGCAGCAACTCTTTCAGAAGAATGCCTAAGATCTTGCTGAACATGAGTTGAGAGACCATTTACGATGGATGGGCAGGCTGCCAATCCAGGAGAAACTTGGCCATTTTGTTCTCCTGGGGTTTTAATAAATCTCTTCAGGCTGTTGTATTTTTAAAAAACCCAACTTGCTATGGTTGCAAGATAAGATAAAGTAACTTTTTATTTTATTGAGCATTAAAAATGAAAATTCTATTGCCTGCTCTCAAGAGAAAATATACATCCGCCCAAACGGATGCACAAATACCCATTGTATGTATGTATGTAGGTGTAGGTGTGTTTGGGTCTTTTCCCGTGTAAGATTAAGAGTATCTTGGCGACGTTTCGGCGAGGTCCCACTTGCCATCCTCAGGCTGGTGCTTTCGGCTTCGTGCCAGTGCAAGCAGTGTGTGATCGGAGCTGCCGTCTCTCTATAAATACTGGTGGTGGAGGCTGATGTGCTGGGCTGGTTGGCAAAACTCACAAGGCCATCACACAGCCCATTATACCAACATCAAGTCCATCAACCAATCAAGAGGTAGCAGTGCAGCCAACCAGCCCAGCACACACACACACATATATATATATGAAGTGAATTATCACTCACGCATCATCACAAAATCTCCAGAACAGTAAAATCTACAAACTTGAAATCTGGCACTTATGGTCCTTTTGGCTTCTAGGTGCTCACTAAGAAAGGATGTTTTGAAATGACTATCAGAGCATTAGTATTTTCTATATTATTATTATTAAGATGCTCTGATGCTAAGAAGTTCTATGACCCCTCCCCACCTGAAAAGAAACCTGTTCCAAATGCAAAACACAAGCAGAGGAGAGGAGTTTCAGTTTGTTTCACAGCACCAAGCAGCTTTAGTACAGAACAGTTGAGCTAAGCCACGCCCAGGCTCCTTGCTGTCTCCTTGCTTACACGGCAAATACTGTTTCAGTTTCCAAACAGCCCTCAACTCTCTCACACACTGACAGGACACTAGCCAGATGAATACCGATGGATGCTGATAGGCAAAGACAGAATTTTCCCCCCTTATTTTCCTCCCCCAAAACTAAGCCCGACCACATAGTTTTGTAGCAACACATAGGTATAGAGCTAGTACATACTATAAACACATACCTGCAGCCATATGTATATATGCATATACAGGTTGATCACTGCTCATTTTGAATACATTGTGGAAAGAGGAAACTTGAGAGTACACAAGGTTGATGCTCTGTGGAACAGATATTTCCCAAATATAAGAGGGCTTTAGATGCAGCCTGGTTTGTGAATGCATATTTCACCGCTGCCCCCACCAGAAAAGAGTGATTTTTAAATCAGATTTCTTTTTGATGCATAGATTCTCCCAAGACCAGTCTTATTAGCAACTCTGCCTCCATTACCAAGGAATGTTGGAAGGAAAAGGGACTTGTGTCCTGTTTTTTTTTTAAGTATTTCTTTATTAAACAAACAAAAAACCCCCACAAAGATACATTAAAAAAGTTGAACCTGGTACAGTCATTCCTAACATCAATCTTTGTCATTACATTGCTAAATCTAATAATAATAACACATAAATTCATTCCATATACATTATATATACATATAATCATTCCTTATTCACCTGAATCTTCCTCATCTCTAGCTAACTATAAAATTTATCCCATATTTTATAATAATCCAAATCCTCTTTATTTTTTAGTTCCTTTGTTAGTTTATCCATTTCTGCGCACATCATGATTTTCTTCAATAGGTTCTGTTTTCGTTCGTCCCCTGCAAACATTAAAACACGGAGCTAAGAAGGACTTCCGATTTAATCCAGCACAGCTTGTATTACATTCGGATGCAAGCCGCGATATTAAAACTAATTACCCAATGACCCATATCGTTGTTATTTAGCTGATGGATCAATTCCATCTGCATAGATTTGCATAGGTGGGATGGAGGAAAAAAAAATCTTCAGAAGGAAGCCTTGATGCGGGATTTGGTGGTGCACACTTCTGTTGGTGCATTGCAGAAACGTCGAGTCAAAGCCAATTCCACTTCCCTCGCTTTGTCAGAAGTGGGAAAGCCTCTTAAGATGAAACTTTGCTGGTTGCAGACTTTATAAAAAGTAAAAAATTTTCCCCATCAGTCGTTCTCCAACACTAGAGCACGTTGTTCATCTCTGTCTTGGCTGAGGGAGCCAGCGTTGTCCAAAGGTCATGTAGCCAGCATAAGCTGTACGCCAAAGGCACACAAGAACGCTGTTGCCCGGTGAACCTTTTCGGCACCGAACCTTTCAGCCCAAGCCAGAACACATGTGCAATGTGTGGGTGCCGGAGTGCTGCGTACATGCCTGTTTTTTGGGGGGGGGCTGTTTTCAGGCTGTTCTTTGGGCCATTTTGGGGCCATTTACAAACCCTTTTCGGGCTGTTTTTCATGGCAGTTGTGGGCTGTTTTTGAGCCATTTTTAAGGCCTTTTTCAGGCCTGAAAATGGCCTGAAAAACGACCTGTTTTTTGTACTGTTTTCCGGCGCTCCAGCACCTTCAAAGACCAGCTGGCTGGCATGCCAGAAACCAGAACAGCAGCTGCCAATGGAGTGCGTGTCTAGAGAGGGCTCTGCATGCCATTCTGGCACGCGTGTGCTGTAGGTTCGCCATCACGGCTGTTGCCTTCCCACCAATGTGGTGCCTGTTTATCTACTCGCACTTGCATGCTTTTGAACTGCTTAAGTAGGCCGCTGGAGCAGGGAGCTACTAAAAAGTATAGATCCCTTTTTGCTAGTAATTTCCATCCAATGTGGCAGTGCAGATCGATTTTTGCAAATGGATTGGACTTTATAATTTTTAATAAAAAGCAAAGAGAAAGAGGGGGGGAGGGAAAGTAGCATGTTTTAGCTGCCCATAGCGATGACGACTTTCACGTACTGGTCGTTACTGGGAGAAGACGGATCCAACACCACTGAATTACATACGTTTTGATTTGAGCATAGCCTTAAGCAATAGATCAGGGGCGTCAAACTTGATTTCATTGGGGGGCCGCATCAGGGTTGTGTTTGACCTGGGGAGGGGGCAGAATGGGCGTGGCCAGCTCGGCATCCCTCGTGTTGGGGGCGCCAAGTGAAAATGGGCTCCCGAGCTCCATTTTTGGCTGTGGCTGCCTCCTGCAACCCTCTGCCAGCAAAAACAGAGTGTGGCCCTCTTGAGCTCCGTTTTTGCTGGCAGAGGTGCCGTGGGCTGCTCCTTCGCTGTTTCCAGGGTGGTCCCGCGGGCCAGATCTAAGCACCCCATGGGTTGGATCCGACCTCTGGGCCTTCAATTTGACACCCCTGCAATGGATGATTAATGTTCCCCTTGCCTAGGGGGCGCTGCCAGATAGGTGAACTTCACCTCCCAGAATTCCTAGCTAGGATAACCATGTGCAAGAGAATTCTGGAGACTGAAGTCCACCCCTCCGGTGGCTACCTAGGAGAGCGGAGCTGAGAAACGGACTGACATTTGTTGTGATTCTTCCTTTCCCCCTTTTTTAGGTGATCAGGTGACCAGGAAAGGGAAGACAAGGTGGAGATGGAACTGCCAAATCATGCCAAACATTTGCTCCTGCAGCTTAACCAGCAACGAGCCAAAGGTTTCCTTTGCGATGTGATCATCGTTGTCGAAAATGCCCTCTTCCGTGCCCACAAGAACATCCTGGCGGCCAGCAGCATGTACTTCAAGTCCCTCATCTTGCACGACAACCTGATCAACTTAGATACCGACATGGTCAACCCTACCGTGTTCCGGCAAATCTTGGACTTTATTTATACTGGTAAGCTCTTAATGACCGACCAGCCTGGGGAACAGAACTTCAACGCGCTCCTCACCGCAGCAAGCTACCTCCAACTTCCTGACCTGGCGACCCTTTGTAGGAAGAAGCTCAAGCGCAGCGGGCGGGCCTTCGCTGGCCGGGCTGGGGGAGCCTCCAGCGCCGGGCGGCCGCCTCGGAGCCAGAGACTTGCCACTGCTTCCGTTATTACTCGTTATTCAGGGTCAGCCGAAGGGATGAAGGGCTCTCAGCCGAAGGAGATGCCAAAGGTGAAGGTCTCGGATGACGAGGTCTTCATGAACAGTTCCAACCAAGAGAATTCCCATGCCTTGAGTAGGGGCCTGGGAGAAGGGAGCAACAGCACCAACGGGAGCTGTGTGGACCAGGAACTCGGGCTGGATCTGTCCAAAAAAAGCCCCTCCCTGCCCACTGTAGCCCCCCAAGATGATACCCCCCACGGCGAAAGTCAGCGTGGCTCCCCCCGGCCCACCTCAGCCCCCACCGCCAACAGTGCCTCATCGTTCGAAGAGTCCACCTCCGGAGCCCCTCCCACCCTCCTAGACAACTGCGAGCCCATGGAGATGGACCTCAGCGAAGACCGCCAGTCCCTCCCCGAAGGCAACCAGCGAAAGAGCCTACGCCATTCCTCGCGCAAAAAAGAGTGGCTCAAGAAGGATTGCCCCTTCGACCGGAAGGAGGGTGGGGGCAAAGGCTGCGAGGAAGGCGAGGGGTTGCCCAACGGCATCCTAATGGGCCCCTTGTGCAAGTCCGCGGAGCGTAGCCTAGGCCTGAGCCCCTACGGCTCGGAGCCGCCGTTGCACGCCTGCAAAGAAGACGTGGAGAACGGCAAGGAGAACAGCGAGGACAGCGGCCAGAGCGAAAGCGAGAACGGCGGGCACAGCAGCGCCAACTACGTCTACCGGCAGGAAGGCTATGAACCCGTGGCCTTCGGGGACAACTTGTACGTCTGTATCCCGTGTGGGAAGGGTTTCCCCAGCTCGGAGCAGCTCAACGCCCACGTGGAGAAGCACACGGAGGAAGAGCTGTACATCAAGGAGGAAGGGACGTTCGAGGATAAAGAAGAGGAAGCCGAGGATTTGTCGAACCCCAACCAGCCCTACGCCTCGGAACCGCGGCCGTTCAAGTGCTCGGTCTGCGAGAAGAGCTACAAAGATCCGGCCACCCTCCGGCAGCACGAGAAGACTCACTGGCTGACGCGGCCCTTCCCGTGCAACATCTGCGGCAAGATGTTCACCCAGCGGGGCACCATGACTCGGCACATGCGCAGCCACCTGGGACTCAAGCCCTTCGCCTGCGAGGAGTGCGGGATGCGCTTCACCCGGCAGTACCGGCTGACCGAGCACATGCGCGTCCACTCAGGGGAAAAGCCCTACGAATGTCAACTGTGCGGCGGGAAATTTACCCAGCAACGAAACCTCATTAGCCACTTGAGAATGCATACCTCTCCTACATGAAGCCAAAGTTTCTCCCAAGGAGCTCTGAGCCCCTCCAACCCCCCCACCAGGAAATACCCCTTCCGACTTGCTGCTTTAAAACAGACTATACAAACACACAGGACATTTTTGCCTCCCTTCTTCAGTCATGGAAGGCGTGAACCAAACAGAGCTTTACTTTCTTCCTTCCTTCCTTCCTCCTGTTCCCCTCCCCCGCCTCTTTCCCCTTCCCCACTGCCAAGAAACCCACACACCCCAGCCCCAATTTAACTTCCAGACTCCGTCCTCCTTTTCAGCTTTTCACTCAGGGGCTTGTAAGGGAATCCACGTGGGGCGAGGGAGATGACGTAGGAGCTCCGCCGTAGGGGGAATTGAGGGGTGGCCTAGGAAGAAAGCCCTTCCCTGGTGGATACCGATCGAAATTGAGGGCCCCGTGGGAAAAAAAGGGGGGGTGGGGGGAGCTAAGGTGGTCTTAGTCACGGAAACGAGGGGCTGCCCCCTCACCACCTCGCTTTACGTTCTTAGCACTTTGAATGGCTATGGTAGAACTTCCACCACAGTATTATTTTTCTTTTCTTTCTTCTGACCAACTCCAAGGATACCCTTTAGTGGCCCGTGGAGGGGCCTTCTTGGGGTTTGTTGGGGGGGGGGTTATCCTTTTTTGGAGGGGGATTTGGCGGGAGGGTTTAGTTTTGACAGTGGACCTGGTTTAAATGGATGGTTGTCCCTCAAAGCTGCAATGGGGAGGTGTTCCTTGGCGAAGGTCTCCTGGGGAACACCAAGGACTTTCTCCGTTGGCTGAAAGAGCTTCCCCCATTTCTACATGGTGCTTTCCAGCTAGGAAGGTCTCCTTCCAACTCTCCCTTTCTCCCATCAAGTCCTAAGGGAAGCGTTGGCCCGCCTTAACCATCACACCCTAGTCTTCAATTTCTTCTGGTCCAACTTTCCTTCTCAGCAACCTCTTTTGATCTCTCTAGCCTTATCCATGACTGAATGGGGGGGCTGAGTTGACACCCTCCCCACCCCCGCCAACCCCAGGAATTTCCTTCAAAATGAGCAGGGGTCATATCTGAGTTTAATTTCCTCCCCCACCCCCCCAAAAAAACTCCCCTTAGTTTTCATACGGATATTTTGTGTTTGGAGGTACTTGTTCTATTAAGAGGAAAAACGATGCGTTGTTCATATTGATGTAAGTGTTGGAACTGGAAAGTTTAAGAGACTTCGGGTGGGCAGCGGGAATTGAAGTAGGCTGAAATGGCTACAAGTTCCTTTAGGTACCTTTTCATTTTTTTTTTTTAAATTGTTATTATTTGGGGTGCGCATGTGTCTCTGTCCGTCTGTCCGCACGCATGCATAGGGGTGTTTGTATGCGTGCACTTAGCTTTTTTCCTCCTTCACAAAAGAGTTGGGCCAGAACGGCAGGGCCCAACTTCCTTTTCTACCTCTTGAATTCACGAGAACAATAAGATGGTTAGCGAAATAATTAGGTGTGATGTTTCGTCCCGCCCTCCTCCTTGTCCTTCCCCCACCCACCCACCCATTCCAGCCCTCTCCCCACTTATCCACCGTTGTAAGTTAGTGTACAAAGTAGACATTTAAACGAAGGTTAAGGGAATTCTATTTTGCCACCTCACTTCTTCCGTCAGAAATGCAAAAAGCATGGCCAAAGACGATAAGTAGTTTTAAGCTGGAGGTCCGGAGAAGATAAGCGGTGCCACCAAATCACTGGGGTTTTCTGTCCACACAAAAAAAAAAAGAAAAGAAAAACAAAACCTTTTTTTTTTTTTTAAAGAAAATTGCTTTGGGGTAGCCTTGTTTATTGAACCTGGATGCCACGGTGGGAGAAAAACGCCATTTCTTCCGTTGGTTGTCCCTTCGACGGGCTCCAGACGAGACAGTCAACGGCAAGGGTCTTCCAACTTGGCCAAGTTCAAGACTTGTGGACTTCAGCTCCCCGAATTCCTGAGCTAAGATTGACTGGAGGAGGAATTGAAGTCCACAAGACTTAAAAGCTGCCAAGTTTGGAGACCCCCCCCCCCCCGGTCAACGGCATAGCCATTGGTCCTGCCAGGATCCAGAGCGCAATAAGAATGTGGAGAACCCAACCAAAGTCTTTTGTTTCCTTCCCTTTTTGGGGTGGGTGGGATGGGGGGTGTAGTTGTAGGGATGTCGACCTGGGTGATGTGCTCGTTCCACCTTCGTTCTTAAAGGGATGCACGAACGGGTTCCACGTATTGGGATGGAACAGCCATACACTGTCTGTCAAAAGACCTCACCGCCAACAGCTGCTATAGGTGTAGGAGATGAGGGCCCTCAACCTTGTTGGCACGACCAGTTATGGAAAGTGAATGGCTGAGCCCCAACCCCATATGGGGGGGTGTCAGTGGTGGGTAAAACCCCAACTCTCTCTCTCTCTCTCTCGAGTCTGAATGGAGTAAGGTTTACATTTCCCGCCATTCTACTTTAGCTTTCTTGCTTGAAACCATTGTTCTGTTTATGATTGTTTGTTGATGATGATGATGATGATGATGGTTAATATTATAATGACGATGATGGTGGTGGTAGGGGTCACCAAAGCGCCCTATTTCTTTTCTTTTTTTCTTAAAAAAAAACAAAACAAAAAGGAAAAAAAAACACCTTTTTTGTCTTTTAAGTTTAGACCAAAAAAAAAAAAAAAATAATGGAGAAAGTTCATCTTGTTCAAATAAAAGAGAAAGAAGCTTGCATTTTTCCGTTCTCGCCACTCTCCCATTAAGTGTTTTCCTGCCCTCTTTATTAGCATAGAGACAAACCCATATTGAATTCAGGCAGCCTAAATTTCCCCGTTTCACCCAGGACGCCTTCGAACGACTAACCGTGAGCCATTGTGCAGGAAAATTGGTCGTCTTCTTCCCTTCTTAAAATATCTTTACCTCACGTTTCATTTTTCAATTCCATGCATCCTCAAATTCGGGGATGTTTGTGTAAGGCCGCAGAATGGATTTAATTTTTTTAATTTTTTTTTGGTGGGTCACTCGTTTTTGTCTTTTTAATTTTTGCGGGACATGAATGTGAAAGCTCTGCTCCCTTCTCTTGGCAAACCCACAGCCATCTTTCTGTGAAATCTCATTCTCTTTTTTTTTGTTTGTTTGTTCCATTTTTCTAAACTGTATGCATCATTCCTTGGTTTTTTGCAGGCAATGCAATACCCCAACATCAAAAACCAACCAAATCCCCATCCATCCTTTCCTTAAACTTTATGCACAGAGCACTGTAAACTGCATCTTATTTCCGGATAACTGGTCTCCCTCTGTTCTTGAGGGGGGAGAACTGTTTCCTCTAACGGTAAGGAGGGTTTTTTGGTTAGCAAAAGGGGCTTCATGCCAAGACTCCAAAGGTTTCCTGAGCTGGGAGGCCCCATGCAATGCCCCAGGATGTGTGTCGAACGTCTCCGTTCTGTGACTCCTACGGTGCAGCCACCATCTGGCCTTTGAGAGGAATAGAGGCTTCACTTCTGGTGAAAACAAAGAACCTCTCCTCAGAGCCAGCGTTTGTGGATTAGTAGTTGGGTGGTAGAAAGCTTCAATGGAAACTGTCCTTTGACCTGATGCTCAGGGGCTCAGGTGTCTAATTTTTCAAGAATATAAATCCCCAGGCTACACTCCCACTTCCGTTCATCTCCAGACCTTTTCTGAACTTTGAGATGCCTTCAAAAGCCACGCCTTGGGCTAGCAAAATTGTACGGTCTAAAGTTGCAAAGTTGAGGATGATATTTTGTTCCTACCTCACCATCCTTTCAGAAAAAAGGACACTTAAATCACCCACCCCCAAGCTTCTCTTTGTTCCAGAATCATGGACATCTCTGGTCCATGACATACTTTATGGGATGGTTCCTTCTTCCATGACCTTTAGAGCAACTGAGCTGAAGAACTTTAGAAGGCCTCGGGATAAGGTAGGCCTTTGAGCCAACCCTGGCAAATGTTACTTATTAAGCCAGAGGTTTGGAGGTCCAACTACCTATGGAAGCAAGCCATCATTCTTCCAGCTGCTACTTAACTTCTACATTGCCATCCAGAAAAAGGTCCACTTAGTTAATCCAAAGGGGAGGAACCCAGCAGCGTGGAACAAGTACGAAGAGGAAACCCTTCCTCTCTTCGCTGAAATGTTGAGTTTAGATTCAAGACATTGGAGGTCTTGAGGCTGGGCGGAGATAATTTTCAAGTTGGGTCTTCTTTTCTTTGGGTTTCCGGTTGAAGCTTTGAAATCTTGGGGATGTTTCAGGACCCCACGATGGTTGGGTCGCTTCTTCTTTTTCTACTTACGCTTTCTTTTTTTCTTCTTCTTTTTCTTTCATTCCCCCTCAGCACTTAAACAACACGACAAAAAGTCTGTGTACAGCACGAGTATTGTAAAAAAAAAAAAATGAGGGAAAAAAAAAAAAGGAACGGCCCAATTTCTTTTCATCGTTTCACCCCTTTCCGACAAAAGTAGCCGTGTAGAAGTGTTCCATAGATAGGATTTTGATGTCCTTCCTCCCATCTCCTTCCTTTCCCTTTCCTTCCCCCCCCCTCACCTCCCAAGACGGTGACAATAATAATGAAAAAAAAATAAATCAAATAATTCTCAAAACTTCAGGGACTGTCCAGGACTCAACTTAAAAGAGTCTGGACACTCGACTGCATTTATACGACATAGTATTGTATCAAGCATTTTCTGTATTTTAATGAAAAAAAAAAAAAGCAAAACACTAGTTTCATATTTAAGATTTTAAGAATTCTGGGGTCGGGTGGGAAGGGAAATAACACTTGGTTCCGGTTTTGGTTTCTCCTTTCTCTTCGTTCCCTTTTTTTTTTTTTCGGTTTTGTTTTATTTTAATTTGCTACTTTTTTTTTTTTTTGAGATACAGAAAAGAGCCTCCTGAGGTTGGTGTTTTTTTTTTGTTGTTGTTGTTAAAAGAAAAAAAAATGTAAAAATCACAGAGGCCCGACAGTTTAACTCTATGCTTTAATCAATTTAGATCACCAGAATGTTTTCGGAGTTGGATTATTAAAAAAAAAATAAACAAAAATAACCTAGAAAAAGTTGTATTAAAAGACAGCTCATAACCCAAATTCACACCCAAAAGAAATTCCTATTTTAAAACCAAAGCACATTTGAATAACTATGGA